GATTGTGCTTCTAGGTAACATTATGCATATCACTCTAGTATGTAGATATAAGTATTTTAAGTAGACGAGCATTTCCTTGAGCTTATATATGGATATCTCTCAGACTGATCCAGGTTTAAATCAGTGCTCAGAACCATATCCAGTAGATCTCTATGTCTCAAAGCTTCTTTATGTCTCTGTGAGTTATTAAGAAAAATAAACAAGATTTTAAAAAAGCAACCTTTGAGGCATGTTTTAAACCTTTAAGCAACATTTTGTTGTCTATCACATCTTCAGCCACTAGCTCAGTGATGAAAACAAAAACAGGAACGCATAACTTTTCTACTGAGCACGGGCAGAACTGCAAAGTGACCACGACTACATCAATAGTTTCCTCACAAACACATTGGCTTTCCCTAGGCTTTCTTGCTAGCAATAACTAATCTCCGTGAGCACTAAGCTTCTGACAGCGCTGGAGTGGGGCTCACACGAACACACTTAGCTGATGAACAGAGTGGAAATGGTTGAATTTGAATAGTGATGACATCAGGTGATAGATTCTGCACACAGGGTTATTCTTCAGCCAGGGTGGCTTGCCATGACCTTCTCCCATTACCTCATTTCCTGGGGCTTAGTTATCTTGGTTTCATAATAAAGAAATGATCAACTGACATTTGTGAAATGACATTATGTATGTGGTTATTCATTGCAGAATTGTTTGCTGTTGGGAAAGGTTGGAAATCACATCAAAGTCCATCAGTAGAGGACTGACGAACTAAACTATGGTACGTTCATACTGTGCAGCCAGCGGTACAAAAGAATGCAAAAACTGTATTCTGCTATGGAAAGGTCTCCGTATAAGCATGGAGTTTAGGATGCTACACTTTGTAGAAACAATGGGAAAGATAAACGAGGAAACACAAGAAACTGGTAATACAGGTTTCCTCTAGAGAGGGGAACTGAGAGCCGGAGGAGAGGAAACTTTTCACCAGATGCCTTCTTACCTATTCCATTTTCTATGCTAGGTCTTACCTATTCCAACACACTCCACCCACATGTCATAGGTACACTTTCTCCCACATGTACCTTTTTTAAGGAAATAACCTTTTTATGGTGGGAAAAATATATATAACATATTTATCATTTTAACCATTCATAAATGTACAATCTGGTGTATCAAATACATTCACAATGCTGTGGGCCCATTATAACTATCTATACCCAAATTATTTTAATCATCTCCAAAAGAAACTCTGCAGCCATTAAACAAAAACTCCTGCCCCTGCCCCAGTCAGTAATCACTTTCTGTCTACTTTTTGTCTCTGTGAATCGGACTATTCTAGGTACCTCGTATAAGTGGAATCATATAATATTTGTCCTCTGTATCTGCCTTATTTCGCTATTCCACATAACACTTTTTTAAAAAGCATCTACCAAGTGGATAAATAATATTATGAAACATTTTTTCCCCCTGAAATGCTTTTAGAAAGACAGAAAACAGATCTTGTGCAATGTGTGGACGTGCCTTGGACAAAGTAGCAATGGTCTCTGGCTTTTCCTAGAAACCCTGTTGTAACATTTAAAAGATTAACTAGTTGCCCAGCTTGTTAATGTCATTTCCTATTTCAGAAAATGAAGTGAAGCCGAAACCAGTTTGGCTCAGTGGTAGAGAGTCAGTCTGCAGACTGAAAGGTCCCAGGTTCGATTCCGGTCAAGGGCATGTACATTGGTTGCGGGCACATCCCCGGTTGGGGGTGTGCAGGAGGCAGCTGGTCGATGTTTCTCTCTCATCGACGTTTCTAACTCTCTATCTCTCTCCCTTCCTCTCTGAAAAAAATGAATAAAATATATATTTTTTTAAAAAAAGGAAGAAAAGAAAATGAAGTGAAATCCTTAAATGAGGCCCCTAAAGGATTTCAGAGGGTCCAGAAATCTCTTCTGAAACTGTATGCATATTTGTTGTATGCTAGTCTTTTGGAGAGACGTTCTTTAGCATTCAGAGATTGTTAGTCAGGAAAAAAATGGCCAAATACCATTGCTAAATGGAATAATTAATGCTGCACCTCCCTATGAAATACACATAAAAGCCCAAATCATCAACTAGTTTGTCTACGTATATGATTAATGGACCCACACCAAACAATAAGCCTCTGACGTAGGCCACAGAAGAAATGAGTCTTTGACTGAAAAATCTAAGTATAGAATTCCTATACTTAATAAAAATAACATGGCACACAATTTGGTAGTATGTAGAAGAGAACATATCATCAAGGATTTGTTAATACAACTGTTATATAAGGATACTGAGGGTTTTTTCATTCATTTCATAAATATCCATTGAATACCCACTTTGTGTCAAATATGGTCTCAGTGCTCAGAATATAGCAGTAAATGAAACACTTGCATTCTACTAGCAGAATGTGAAAAACGAAATGATAAGTTTTCAGGTAACTATCAGTGTGTCAGTGAAATTGGATGAAGATAGCCTGGAGGTTTTATGTTCAGGTAGAGTGGTTGGGAAATCCCTTTCTGGGGAGATGGCATCTGAGCTGACATCTAAAGAGCAAGCAGAACCAGCCATGGAAAGAGCTTGGAGAAGGGCATGCCAGGCAGAGGGAACAGAAGTGTTGAAGCTTGAGCTATAAGTAAAATGTGAGGTCCTGAGTGCTAACGGCTCACCACCACCCTTCACTGTTTCCTCACACGGGGATCATTCCTACTAGCCTAGACTCAACTCTTTATCCTCCTCTTTTACATCCAATAACCTCCTACAACAAGTGTGATTCTAGCCCTCAATGCTCCTTCTCCCTCCCTTTGAGCCCTTGATGGCTCCACTGCCTTGCCCTACATGTGCCTACATTTCATCAACCCAAACATGTGCTGAGCTCCTCAAGGAGAAGGATGCCTGCTTCTCTGTGAACACTGTTGTGGGCAGCAAAGAACAGGGCCAGTTGTGAGGTCAAGGCGGGCAGGACAGCCAGGACCACCAGTGCAGCCATTGAGGTTGAGCTCACAGGCACAAGGATCCTCAAGTCAGATTTGGCCATTACTTGTCACACATAAGGTGCAATATATGAAACATTTAAATATACCTCACATACAAAACATATACATATACCATAATATCCTTGTTTAAAAATAGGAAACAAAAATTGGAAGTGGCCTAGGTTACTCTTATTGTACTTTGAAAGGTTTGAGTATAAAGAGAATGAGTTTTAAAGGAAGGTGGCTTGGAATCAAATTCTAGGTCTGTGATTTCTTGGCTGGATAACTTTGGGCAGGCTTTTAAACTATGTTGAACAGGTGTAAGTATGGGGAATAATTGTGTTCAGGAAGGATTATGTAATTAAGCCTTACCCACACTGAATTTAAATGATGAGATATAATTTAGATATTTGGAATTTCAGTTGATGTTGTGATGGGATGAGACTTTGGGGACTTAGGGATGGGTGAGCCTACTTTGCATGTGGGACAGGCATGGCTCATTTGGAGCAAGCGGGCAAATAGTGGTAGGCAGGGTGACCTCTCAGAGGTCCTCATCTGAATCCCCAGAACCTAGGGCTACATGACAAAAGAGACTTTACAGATAGATTATGTCCTAAGGATATAACCTAGAGATGGAGATGTTACTAATCACTTGAGTCCTTCAACGTACAAGAGAAAGAGAATAGGTCAGAGTGCTAAGAGAGAGGAAAACTAAGGCTGCCATGGCTGGCTTTGAAGATGGAGGAAAAGGTTACCAAGCCACAGCAATATCTAGAAGGAAAATACAGTAAAATAGATCCTATCTATTGAGAACTTACAGAAATAAACAGCCCTACTGATGTCTTGATTTTAGTGCAGTAAAGCTGCTTGACTTCTGAGATATGAACTGTAGGAAAATAAAATTTGGATTCCTTTAAGCCACTAAGTTTACGATGATGCTATAACAGCAGTAGAAAATCATTATAGTACCTAATTTATAAGGAGGTTTGTTTTATTAGAAAAAAATATGTAAAGAGGTAAACAATTCCGAGATGTTATAAATGCAACCAATGACCTATGTAGAACTATCTTCAAAGGACGTTTTCCAGTTTCTAGAGATAATAAAATTCCAAGTTTATGATAGATAGTCCTAAGAAAATTGCCTAAAGTAGGGGTAGCAGACTCAAATACATATGTGGGCTTTGCTGGTAGCATACATAAGGGAAATAGGCAAGTTGGATGCTGCTGCAGATTGGAATAGTGGCCCCACTTAAGGGACATACCTTAGCCTAGCTGACTGATGGCAAAGCAAATGCAATGCAGGTCATTTGATGATTCTGAGATACATCAAATTTTCAAGGAGCAGAAATCCATATGTTCTTCTGCTATGAAATCCCCAGTGTTTGCATATTGGAAAACAATTCACATTTAATCAGACAAGCATATCTTATTACAGGTTTGGTCCCAGACTACCAATATAAAGCAAATTGTAATCTTTTTGCCAGTGGAGGGCCTTGCATTCAATTTGTAAAAGATGCAACATCTGTGTGGTGCAATAAAGCAAAGTACAATAAAACGAGGTATGCCTTTATAGACCCTGCACACAATTTTTAGGCAAAATTCTGGTTAGGTCTACGTTTAGTCCCGCAGGTTAGTATCGCTAGCCAATTAGTGAACACGTGTAAAGCCCAAAAAAGAAAGCTACTTTTTGTTTGTTTATTATCACCCAGGAGAGAGACAGAGAGACACACATCAATGTGAGAGAGACATGTCCATTGGTTGCCTTCCACATGCACATTGACAAAGTCAGGGATCCAGCCTACAACCAAAGTTCACGCCCTTGACCAGTAATTGCACTTGAGACCCTTCAGTTTGAGGGCTGGCGCTCTATCCACTAAGCCAAACAGGCTAGGGCAAGGTAAGCTATTTTTTAATGCATATTTGTGGGCCCTCTCATAGTTTTACATCATAAAATCATACTTTGCACTGCTTTTGGTAGTTTACCCAAATCTAAGAAACTATAAATTTTATGAAATTAAACAGAAGATAACTTCAAATGTATTCAAATCCAGTTTTATTAGAATTTGAGACTGGTACAAAGTCTTTCACTATGGCCACTGGACATACCAGACATGAGTTTATGTTTTTGGTTTGTTGTGGGTTTGAATACATCTACTTTTCTAAATCCTTTGCCCTTCATTTCATTACCAAATGTCAAAGTACTTTAAGTTTCTCTATCTACAAAACCCCATTGTTTATAGAACAGGAATTTGTAAAATATGATTGTAAAAATAAAATCCACAGATTCCAAAAATTCTCTTCAAATATTAAGAACATACAAAGTATACTAAAGACATCTACATTTAGTTATCCAAGTCACAAGGCAGGCATTTGATGTCTATAGTTTTTATATATTGCTAATTATAGTTCAGAGACCAGAGTGCTCCCAAAAGCTATAAAACCCTTCACTGACGTTCCCAGTCTGGTTCCAATAGATTTAGAACAGGGGTGGGAAACGTTGGTCAGCAGGCCGTGTAAAGCCTGCAAAATCATTTGGTCTAGCCCTGCCAAGGCAGTAGAGCTGAATTAATTAAATGTTTGACCAAATATAAAGGTCTAATTTTTAAATTGATATTTGTATGGCCAGAGAATGATGTTATAAATATCCAAATGGCCCTTGGCAGAAAAAAGGTTCCCACCCCTGATTTAAAGAATAAGACCAGGAGAGTACTTGATTTGGCCTTTAAAAATCACAAGCCTTTTTTTTTTTTTTTTTTTCTTTAGTGAGATTTTTCTTCTATAGTTGCTTAGGGCACTATTTGCTTCCTTCATGCCTTATAATTAGCATCTGCCTTACAGGAGACCTAAGTATTGGCTTTGTAAAGTGAACAGCAAATGGTGAGAAGCCTTCCCATTGAAGGCAAAACTTTGCACAGCTCGTAGAGGGCTGGGTGCTCTTTAGTTGTTCTCCAGTGATCCTGTAGTTGCCTGTAAGAAGGAGGAAAAAAAAGAAAGCTGTGTAAGAATCTTCATTCCAGACATTTCAGCTTGTTCTAAGTAGTCCTGCTTTCTTATCAGTGTATGGAAACTCAGCTATGCAATGGAGCCCTATTGTTTTGTTCCTGTCTTAAGAGTAGCTCTTGGGAATCAGAATGCTGAAAACAAAGCAGGGCGATCACTTGAGGAAATTATGCTCTGGCTTTTCTCAAAGGCTGCACTTCTGTAAGATTCATGAGAATTATTTTCAATCTTTACATTCCTCTAAATAGCCCACTTATTTCACCAGAGGTAAAAGACTGCCACAACATATTACCATTGGTTGCCTTACTATTTTTAGGTGGAAGCACCTGTTCCTCAAGGGGAACATGCTAGTCTACAGTCGTTTATTTGTGGTCTGAATAGCAGCACTACTGAAAGAAAAAGTAATTTGGCAATCAAAATAGGCATGTTTCTTTATTTGCGTAATTGAATAAGGTCTCAAACTTTGGAAAGGTTAACTCTGCAAATTATTTGTGTTGTCCTAGCAAATTAGACAGATTAATAATAAGTCACAGCTGAAGTTATATCAAATATATTGCACTCTTATTTCTCTAATAAATGAAAAAATTTTCTTTGGAAATGAGCATACTCTGGAACTTAGTAAATCTTTGCATCTAATTTAGATTTATTTATAAATTGAAAACATAGTCTCCAAAGTTAATGAATTAGTTTATAAGGAGCATTTCCCCTAAGTTAAAGTTCATTTAATCTTTGAGAATACTTAAAATATTTAAGAAATATCTAGAACAAAAAAAGAAAAGCAATTAATACAGTGTAATCTTACCAACCCACGAAACACTAAATTAAGGAGAGAAATTATACTTACAAATGGGGTCCTGATTCCAAATTTGCTATAGAATGTCATGGTGACTTTGTTTTTGTATCCTGTTCTTTGATCAAAGGCGTGGCATGTATCAAAAGGTGGGCTGTACAAGTGAAGGCTCACGGCAGGTTCCGTATGGCTAATATTTTCTACTCGATGTAAGCCAATGGAATCTAAACAACAACCAAGAAGAACAGATGAAGAGTTTTAGAGGATTGCTGTAAGTAAAAATTTTGTCAATCACCTAAGATTATAAATCAATTGGGTACATTAGGAATGGAATTTCTTGTTAAAGATAATAAGACACATGCACTCTCTTATTTCCTGTAAACATCCTACAATGTCAGTAAAAGACTAAAAAAGGCATAAAAAAACATAGAAAAAGAGAAAACATTGCCGAAACCGGTTTGGCTCAGTGGATAGAGAGAGCGTCAGCCTGCGGACTGAAGGGTCCAGATTTGATTCCGGTCAAGGGCAGGTACCTTGGTTGCGGGCACATCCCCAGTAAGGGGCGTGCAAGAGGCAGCTGATCGATGACTCTCCTCATCTATGTTTCTAACTCTCTATTTATCTCCCTTCTTCTCTGTAAAAAATCAATAAAATATATTTTTTTTTTAAAAAGAAAGAGAAAACATTAACAAAAATTTAAAAGCTTGAATGTTGACTCTTGAACAACATGGGCATTAGGAGTGCCAACTCCCACATCCTATAGTCAAAAATCCACATTTAACTTTTGACTCTCTCAAAACTTAAGTTGTCCCCAAGTATCAAGGGGGAATTGGTTCCAGGCCCCCGTATGATTATGAAAATCTGAGGATGCTCTAGTCCCCCACTCCCTTTTATAAAATAGCATTCATCAAAGCATACAATCAGCCCTCCACATCCGTGGACCCCCAACCTCGAATTGAAAACATTACAGGTATTTATTTATTTTTTTTAAATCTGGGTATACATGGACCCGTTCAGTTAAAACCTGAGTTGTTTGTCATTAACTATAGATGAAAAAGCTTTGCAGGAGAAAGAAAGCTAAATATTCATTCATACATGGAGATAGCCAAGAAATAAAGTGATTTATATTGTGAAACTCCCTCTCCCCGCCCAAACAGCTCAGGAATTGGGAGCATGGGTATTTCTGAATATGGGGAAGTAGATGGGACTAAAAATACAAGAACTGGTTAAAAGGCTATTTCAGTTTAGAGACTCAATCCCTTTTACCACTTCTCCCTCTCCTTCCTTTTGGTAGAAGTCTGAGATCTGGTCTCTAGAAAGAATATAATAGATCAGGACCGGTGAAAAAGAGGTGACCAAAGTGAAAGTTTACATATTGAATGAGAAGAGTCCCCCTTTCTTCACCACATAGCTGCCCGAACGCTTCCAGATAGGAGTTTTCTTCTTCAGGAAGGAGATGGGAAGCAGTTTCCAGGGAATCTGATTGGCTCAAGAACAAAGAACAACTGCCACTGGTTGTTCATCCAGAAAAAAAGCTCTGCCAGATTATCCTAGAATGAAGTCCAGTGTTTAGAACTACCAGCTGGTATTTTTTGCCCCTGTTTTTAAATATTAGCACACAGCCAAGGTCGCTAGACATTTGAGCAAGTTCTCTAGTATGAAACACAGAGGCAAGAGCAACCTAAAAAGAGCAGCTAGAGACAAACACAATTCAAGAGAAGGCTTAAAAAACAAATGTATCATTAATATCCTTAGAGAGATAAGACAAAATACTATTTTAAAAAAAATACAACAACAGAGACTAAAAGGAGCTTTTAGAAATAAAAACCTGAATAGGAAGATTGGAAGAAAAACTAAGGAAGCGGAGGAAGACTAAAGAACAAAATAACACAGATAGAAAATAGGAAAGAAAGTAAATCAAGAGGAAGTTTAAGAGCTGAGTAATGAGAATTTCATAAATAGAGAAAAAGAAATGAAGTCAAAGAAATAACTAGACAATATTTACTTGAATAGAGGGACATGAATTTCCAGATTGAAAGAACCCACTGAGTACTCAGCACAATAAATGAAAATCATGCAACTTGGTATAAATCACTATAAATTGGAGACAGAGAAAATATAACAAAAGACATCTCAGAAGTTTCTAAAAAGGAAAATTAGGTTTCGTAGAAAGATTCAATAATCAGAATGTCAGTAGATTTTTCAACAAGAAGACTGAAAGCGTTAGCTAAGTATCACAGTTGGTTGGAGTGCTGTTCTGATATGCCAATGTTGCAGGTTCAATCCCTAGGTCAGGGTACAGACAAGAATCAACCAATGAATGCATAAAAAAGTAGAACAACAAATCAATGTTTTTCTCATTCTCTCAAATCAATAATAATTCTTTTAAGACAAAAAACTAAACAATAAGGCTTTACCTCCATTGTTCTGAGAAAATGTGATCGTCAGGTCAGAATTCCATATCCAGATAAATTAGCAATCACATTGCAAGGGTTGAATATAGAGATTTTAGATATATAAGGTCTCAAAAAATTCCTTTCCAGAACCCTTTCTCATAGAGCAACTGGAGGACATGCTCCACTAAAACAAAGGCCTGGAACTGGGCAAAAGTGAGATCAGAAAACAAGGGGATTAGCCAAAGAAGGTGGCAAAGGAAAAGCCTGGATGATGTGAGGGAACCCTAGGATGACAGTGAAGCTCTGGCCTTGAGATCAACCAATCCACATTGAAGCTGGTCAAAAGGCCCTGGAGGAGATGTCTCAAAGAAGATTAAAATAAAGAAATAATGAAACAATATGTGATTGAAAAAAATATGCTGAGTAAAAATTTATAGTTAGGAGGGGATTTGAGGATTAGTCAAGGAAGGAATTCAGTGTAAATTAGTGTAGCTACTGTAGGCGCCCAATTTGGCCTTATGCTTTATGATCTAGCTCCATGAAGTTGCATGATAAAGAACAAAGACTAGAAGCAAAAGACTTAGGTTCTACTCCCTGAAACAACTCACAACTTCTAGAACCCCCGGTTTTCCTCATTTCTAAAAATGGGGCCTGATTCTCAGATCCGTAAACTCTTTAATTCTAAAGCTTACTTCGTTCATAAGATACTGGCTGAAGCACAATCTTGAACAAAAGTTCAATATTCTTAAGAACGGACTGTCCCTACACAAATTATTTGTTTCTCCAATTGCAAATACATACACCATTCGATGCATGCTGGACAATCTGTAAGCAAAGGCCCTACAAAAACTAGTTGCCTGTCCGTTAAGAGAAGTTCCTGAGAATCATGTCTGATCCCAATTGTTAAGAATTCCAGCATTATTATTTTTGTCTTTGCCTCCCTTTCTTTGCCCCCATAGTGTACCCTCTGTCACAGTAATTCTGCACTTGGGGATACTTATGGATGCCACTTTGATCCTGGCCATGTCCATCTTTTTTCTATGACAATAGGTAACTTGGTCTGCTTGCCCCAATTCTCCCTTTCCTCCCCACTGTGTTGCACACTGCTACCATATTGATCAAGATATTCCCAAGTAAAATTCTGCACACCAAATCAAGCTCTTATTTGAAGCTGGCCTTGTAGGCCTGGGACCTGATCTCACTCCACTCTTCCACTACTCCCATCCAAGCCCATTCTTCCTTCTTCCCTCCAGGCAGACCATTCCTGACAAGTTTTTTTTGTTTGTTTGTTTGGTTTTTTTGCAGTGACTATGCCTTCACTCATGCTCTTCCCTGTACTTAAAACATCCTTCCCACTGATCAGTATCCATCTGTACTCTTCCTGCACTGGTAAAAATAAAAGGTTGTAAATATGTGATTTTTAATCATATGAGTCATTAGTCTACAGAAATATTTAGCTTATTCCACCCAATATTTTACCAACTGGCAAATTTTGTCCCATAAACATCTATGGAAAAAGAAGTCAGGATGATCTCGCTGGAGCTGGGTGCCTGTTGCTCCCCTGTGGCTTGTACACACCAGTCCCCAAGCCTGATTCCCAGCCTGTAGCATGCACTTACCATATCTGTTTGGCTCCTATGCTCTTTGCATTGTAGACTCTTTACCTATTCTTCAAGACCTTTCTAGGTTCACACAGAGTCTGTGACTTGCTAAAAGTAAGTCTCCTGAAAGGCTTTTTGCTTTTCTGTGAGTTATATAGGCAACAAACTTGTTCTTGAAAATCTGGTGTGCCTCATATATTATATAGCAACCCTCAAGAGTTTCCTGCTATCTAAGAAACTAACACCTTGTGTTCTGTGAATGAGAAGAAAAACTTCCCATACAGTAGTCCCCTTTATCTGTAATTTCACTTTCTGCAGTTTCAGTTACTTGCAGTCAACCATGGTCTGAATATATTAAATGGAAAATTCTAAAAATAAACAATTCATAAGTTTTAAATTATATGTTGTTCTGAGTAGTGTGGTAAAAATATCCTGCTCCATCCCACCCAGATGTGAATTATCCCTTTGTCCAACCAGCTGTACAGGCTCCAGAGTACAGAGTCACTTAGTAGCTATCTTAGTTATCAGATACACACACACACATGCCACATTTACATAACTTTTACTACAGTATATTGCTGTAATTGTTCTACTTTATCATTAATCATTGCTTTTACTCTTACTGTGCCTTATTTATAAATTAAACTTAATCCCAGGTATGCATGTACAGGGAAAAAACATAGTATATATAGGGTTCAGTACTAACTACAGTTTCAGGTATCCACTGGGGGTGGGGGAGGGGTGTCTTAGAAAGTTCACCCCTCAGATAACGGGGACCCACTTTGTAATCTGATCTTTCTAAGTGTACTCTGAAAAGAATGATCAGATTTAAGTCAGTACCAAGGCCAATGTCTGTCTTTAAACAAGATCCTGGTTTGCCAGAAAAATCTCTACAATACCTTATTATATGTAAGTGAAATAGCATCCAATAAGAGTATGGCCTTGGGAATCAAATTGCTTAGGTTAGAATCCTGGCTGCCACTTAAAAGTTGAGTAATGTGGACAAGTTATTTAACCTTCCTGTGTGTTGGAACTTCATCTGTAAATGGGAATAAATGATCTCATATAAGCATAACAAAGCTTTCTGGAAAGTTATTATCCCCTTTAAGAATACAGATGTTAATCACCACCTCCCCTAAAAAGCATTTGGTTTTCCATATCACAGTTAGGGGAAAGAATGAATTCTTAGTGAGAGATCTATAAATCACTGCTGAATAATGAGCTTTGCAAAGTTTCCCTTGAGAATATGCTTTTAAGTATATGCATTTTATAAAAATAAGGACTAGCTAGCATTCATAACTACTTCTAGAACATTGCTTTACATTTTCTTTTTTTAAATGTTTTTTATTCATTGATTTTAGAGAGACAGAGGAAGGGGAGGGGACGGAGAAGAAGAGAAAGACAGACAGAGAGAGAGAGAGAGAGAGAGAGAAAGAGAGAGAGAGAGAGAGAGAGAGAGACATCAATTTGTTGTTATATTTATTTATTCCCACCTTCATTAGAAGACTCTACATACATAAATTCATATCAGTTCTAACTGTCCTAAGATTTGGCATGCAAATGACATTTCAGTCAGCACTAGTCTACAAGCATGTGTTTCCAATAAGTGATTCTAGTCCACATGCAAACCTTTAAAAAGCAAAACCCACTGCTCTCGGGTCATTTTCCAAGCATTTTAAATTAGTGACTTCAAGATCCAAGTTCTACTGCACATGTGTAAGTAACCAATATTTCCGATGGGAGTTAAAGGTTTTTCCCACTTGCCCTTAGAAAAAGCTATTGGATGTTACCGTTGATGTAGGCACACTGGTTTTCCCTCAAGATTCTTTCAGACTTCTTGATCATCTCATTGGATTTTTTGTCAGGCCAGTCAAATAATGTCTCCTTTAGATTTCCCTGCAGCATCTTCAGAAAGCAGTGGGAGTTGGTGTGGTCATGGATACTGCTATATAGACACAAAAGGACAAGTGAACTCAGTAGAGGCTCCAGTACCCAGACGTGCAGTAACAGTCAGCCCAGAGCTGAAAGCTGCACATTCCCAAGACAAAATCCATTTCAGCTGAATTTTGAAATGTCATCAATTTATAATTCAATATTGTACACTATAGAGAAAAATGTCTTCAATATCAATGTATATAAAAGCAACAGTTTTCATCCATATCCCCTATTTAAGAACAGTTAATTTTTTCAAACCCTGTTAGAATACTACTTTTGTAAGAGAAACACAAAACCAGCAATCTTTTATCTTCTTCAAGATACAGCTTTTAATAACTCAGTTAAGCTGCACTAAAACTTGGTTAAAAAACTGCACTGGAGAACTTTTAGGAAGGACAAAAAATAATCATCTATAATCATTGCATCACACTGAGAAGATCACTTGACATTTAATAATTTTTCCCAGGTTTTCTCTTTTTTATCCTTCCTTTGGGGGACAAAAGGTATACGTATCTATTGCCACCATCCTAAACCTATACTGTAATATACACATAATGTTAACATTCTGTAGATTTAGACTGCCCTACCTGTGATTACATCCCAATATTTGTGGAGGAAATGAAGCAGATTTGATTTGGGAAAATGATATATTCATACAAGCTTATAGTAAATAGTATTTAAGTTTATTAAGTAAGATGAGCTTTAGGGTTGATTAAAATATATATATATATATATATATCTGTACCATAGGAAGAACTTGTTTCCTAAAATTCACAGAGCCTAGTCTTATTCTTTATATGTAATCTACTTTGAAAAAATATTGAATAAGGGAAAATTGCTCCATTCTACATGAGTGAATAAATGTATTCTATAAACCTAATTTTCCAAAACTTTATAAATTCCTGTTTCCTTTCTCCCATCAAAAATGGGTCTGGATTATTGTCTCACCATTCTCAAAAGACTGAGAAGGATCTGTTTAAAGAGATACTAATACTCAATTGGTAATAATGCTGGCAAATATTTAAACGAAGAACAATTAAGGAACCAAATTTCAAAGAATTGGTATTAGTTTAATTGCCTTACTCACTATATAAAGAAAAACTTGAAGTGAAAAGAAATTGTCCCAATTTGTGTATTGCTTTTCTAGCTCCAAATCTGGACATTTAGGTCTTTAGTCCCAAAATTATTTACACACTTCAAACTACAAAAGTCAAGTTTTAGCACAATCACATAAAAGTTTGGAGAGAGAATAAGTTAAACTGGTTACCACCTACTCATTTTGGGGGCTGGTTTTGATATTCATGGTGTATGCCTAAACCCTTTAGGCTAATTCCCATGAGATTTGTTATTAGGCTTAGGGGACAAATAATTATAAAATGAGATTTGTTAGTTCTCTCAAGACTTGTGGCCAGCCTGGCACTGTACGCTGCATATTCTGGAATAGACACGGTAATAAAAATCTGTGAATAGTTGTATTACCTGCCATGTCCTTCACCCCAACATAGAATCATCAGATTAAATTTTCCATTTCCTTGATCCACAAGATTTCGGGTGTACCTGAAAGGAATATATTCAGAAGTTTGAATTTGGTTGATGAAACAAGCACTGGTAAAAATAAGTGTGTCACAAAGTATCATTCATTTACAGATGCTACTATTTTTACCTCTAAGCAAGTATATATGTGGTTTTCTTTCTTTTTTTAAAAATGTATTTTTATTGATTTCAGAGAGGAAGGGAGAGGGAGAGAGAGAGACAGAAACATCAATGAGAGATTGGCTGCTGCCTGCATGTCCCCAACTGGGGACAGAGCCCGAAACCCGGGCATGTGCCCTGATTGGGAATGGAACCATAACCTCCAGGTTCATAGGTAAACACTCAACCATGAGCAACGCCAGACAGGCTGAATGTGGTTTTTTTTAATCCAGCACAGATCAAAAATATTTTTCCCAGTTCATTTTGGACATTTTTATATTTTGAATCACTGTATTTACAGCTGCTCAGTTTTAATTAATGTCATGGAAAAGTTAACAGGAAATGAAGTAAATTTCTTTATTCTCCATGTGACTGCCTGAGATTGAAAAAAAGTTTCTCACAGAAGGTAATTGCAAAGTTCGTTAGTGACCTAGGCAAGAATGTTGCTATTGTATTGTCATGTGTTTTCTTTGGGGTAGATAAACCTGAATTTGAGAAACAAGGTTTTATTAAATAGCTGTTCTAGAATTCTCCTTAAGTTTTACTGTAGCCCAGATACAAACCACATTCAAAAGTACCCTTAATGAAAAGTCTTCCACAAACGGTGTGTGTGTGTGGGGGGGGGGGGGGGGGGAAGGGGCTGGGAAGCGGGGAGTTGTTCTAAGCATTAGAATGTAGGACACTATATTAAGAAGGTAACACTCTAAACCTTTTACAATGATGAAAAGACAGTAATAAGCAAAATAATAGTAATAATAATAATAAATAAATAAATCCTGATCCAAAAACAACCCACAACCACACCATCAGAAAATAAAACTCAACTTTAAAGTTTCTATTGGTCCAAGAGGTACTGAGGATGTCATCTAATTAGCAAAGCTTTATGACATTCATTTAGACCATCACTTTTAAGGAAAGCAATCTCTACCCCATTTCTGGGGCAGGGTTTGTTCATACAGTTGGTCATCTGTTCACTTAAGTCCTACCTGGCCCATCCTCCCCCAACAGAAGGCCAGCTACTGGCAGAGCAGGATTAGTAAAGGGAGGTGATTAGTAGATGCTCTTTAGATTTCAGCCATCATCATTTATGACCTGGCAAGGGGCTGTGCCTTTAGTTCACAGTAAACCTGGTTCCTGTACCAGGATCCTACTTCTCCCTCCACGGGTCTCAGGGTCATCACTCTGGTTTCTCCGGGGCTTCCAACAGAGAATACACTGTCTGGTGTGCACTGGAACACTCTCTGTCTTGGTTCTTCTGCTTTGGCTTTCCCAAGGTCAGAGATCAGAATTCCTCAGTGTTTGGACATGCACAGGCAGAAAATACTATCGAATTGATGATTTCTGCTCTCCCTTCTCCCTTCCTCTCTCCTCCCCCGAACACCTACCCACCCACCTACTATCTAAGTGAGCTGTATCTCAGATACCTGTGGAATAATCAATCCAAGCAGATGCATTTCAAATGGTTTGGAGCTTATCAATCGCTATAAATCAAGGCCCCTGGAAATATCCTTGTTCTAAAGTAGGGGTGTCGAACTCAATCAGAGAAGGAGCCAAAATCTAAAATCCAGCCTAAATCGCGGGCCGAATGGTTTACTGAACAGTCATAAACTGTCATTGTGATGGAAACGCAGCGGAGTGCAGTGATGACAGCGCGGTGTGGGCCACATTGCAAGGCCTGGTGGGACGGATTTGGCCCGCGGGCCTTGTGTTTGACACATGTGTTCTAAAGATTAAGCGCACTTACAGCCTGGTTAATTAATTTCATTTGACCAAGAATATCTCTAGGCAGAACAAGAAAACCACTATTGTACACCATATGTCTGCAAAAGTTTAATAGTGGTTTAGAGAGTGGGCTCTGGAACAATAATGCTCATTTGGATCCTGGTACCACTTCTTGACATAAGTATGACCTTGCACAGGTAATCCAAACTTTTTATTGCTTATCATTTCTCACCTGTAAAATAGGGATAAGAATGGTACCAATCTCGTAGGGCTGTCGAGGTAAATGAGTTAACACACATGTAAAGTGACTGCAATAGCATCTGGCCCATAATAACCCCTCAATTACTTGGAGCTAATGGCAAAATTAAAAAAACTAGACTCTGCCCTGGCCAGTTTGGTTCAGTGGATAGGGCATCCGCCCTCAAACTGAAGTGTCCTGGGTTCAATTATGGTCAAGGACACAATGTTTCTGTCTCTCCCCTATCTTCCACTCTCTCTGAAAATAAATATATAAGTAAAAATATTGTAAATGGAAAAAATATCCTCAGGTGAGGATTAACAACAAAAACAAAACAACAAAACACACTAGACTCTGGTAACTTTATTGGCAGCCACAGAAGAACTGAGTTGATAGGAACAAAAGAATTTCCTAGAGACATTGACGACAAAACTTTACTAAAAGCCATAAGTATGTTCTGTGAATCGACTAATAGAATCTGCTCCCAAGGAAAGCTTAGTCTTTCCTTATTCTTTTCTTTCAACTCTCCGCTTCAACCCAGCTAATCACAATGACTCAAGCGCTAGCTACCTCTCAGAAAAGAACCTCTCACTCTTCGGAGTGACTAAATTTCATTCGTGGCCTCAGAGGACCGACCGGTCGAGATTCATTTTTACTTCATCACCAAGCCACCTCTGCAGAGGACCGGGCCTCCCAGGGCATCTCACTCTAGCACAGCTGGGAAGCAGCGGTCTTCCATTTACATTCCAGATCCTCAGAACTGAGCATAAGAGAAAGCATACTGCTGGGGGAGGGGGCGTGGGGAGAAGCGAGAGTCAGTCCTTTAATTCGCGAATCAATAGTGTGTTTAAATAAAACCATAGTCTAGGAGCTTAAACTGGTTTGGGAGAGGGGTCACCACAAACTGAAAACGAGCAGTTGACAACTCCAAGGCGCGCGCGCGCACACACACACACACACACACACACACACACACACACACACACACACGCCTGTTGGCAGGTGCTTGCTTGCAGGCCACAGAGGGCGAAGTGATGGAGAGCCAGCGGCGGGGAATTGTGCCCCCACCGTTAGTTACCCTTTCCTCCTGGATGGCTGATGCAGGTCTCCCCGGGAGCATCAGCCTCCGTCAGTCCGGCCAGTCGGCTCCCCAGGGCTCTGCACCCGAGGCCGGGGCGGAAGGAGAGGCGGCTGGGAAGCTGAGAGGTGGACACGGGAGAAAAGGACGGAAACCTGGAGACAGGCGGCTGCCTCCCCTACGCAGAAGGGCGAGCCGGGCCGGCGGAGGAGGCCCGGGGGCGCTGGGCGCGATGGGGCCTGCACTCTCCCGAGGCAAAACCCTCCCACCCCCTCACCCTCCCCACCACGCCCGCCTCTCCGCAGACCCCGGCGGCGCACGGCCGGGCTCGGAGGCCCGCGATCCTCGGCGGGCAGGGCTGGAGCGCTCACCTGTACTGGTCGTACTTGGCGTACACGGACCACTCGGCGGGGTCGCTCTCGTAGGCTTCCATGACGGCCTGCACCTCCTCCACATTGACCTCCTCGCCGTCGAAGAGCTGGTGCAGGATGCGGATCAGGTCGTTTAGCGACCGGGGCTTCAGCACCTCGGTCTGCTCCATCCTTTGCAGAATCGGCGGCGCGCACGCCTTTCTCACGGCCGGGCTTCAGCGCAGGAGCTGAGCGAGCCTAGGAGCCGGGGACGAGGGACCCCAGCTGCCAGCCAGACAGCCACACACACACACACACAAACCCCAGACACTTGAAAGCCACAGCCCAAAGAATCCCTGGCCAAGATTATCAAGAGACACCCCCACGGGGTCGGTGTGGATCTGCGATCTCGTAGAACGTGCGGAGTACACAAATCGGGACCGAACCCGTACGCTGTAGCCTCCCGGGCCCTTTTTAAGCTCTCGGAGCCCGCGGGAATGTACCAATGGCCCTCGGAGGGCGGGGAGAGGCGGGGTGCGACCTGAGGAAGGTGGTGGCCACGGCGAGAGCGTCCGCCCTCCGAGCAATGCAGCCCTCCGGAGCCCTTCCCTCGCGGGCTGCGCGCAATCCCTCCCCCACGGTGACAGGCTCCTTTTGGCCTCCCATCCCCACCGCTTTCCACACGCGCCGCCGCTGCCGGCGTTCCCAGCGGCTCCTTTCGGCCACCGGGGTTTCACACCCTGGGATGCAGACCGCGGGTTCGGGCGAGAACGCCTGGGGGCAGATGCTGAAGAAGGCAGGGGGCCCTACCTGTCAGAGAGAGCCCAGGAACTATGAAGAGCTTGGGAAGGCTGAGGATGGATTCCACTTCCAAGATGGAGATCTGTTTTGAGCGATTGAAACTCTAGATAATAAGCTTCAGGCTAGGTGAAAATGAGTCTTCCTTTAACCATTAAAAAACACACCACCTTTTATTGAATTTACTGGCATGACATTGGATTTAGGTGTACAATTCTATAGTACATCATTTGTACTATTGCATTGTGTACTCAAAGTACATTTTGACAAAGGAGACTCGGCTGTCCAGCTAGATTAGCAAATAAATCGGTACTAGGCCAGATACCGTTTTAAAATCAAACATTACCTAAAAATTATTCAGTGTAAAGACCTGACGTTTCAATTCACGTGAAAGGAAATGCTGTGTGTGCGTGGTATTTTTCTTCTTCTCCCAAAGCAATAAAGGGTTATTCTAGACTATTTAAATACATTATTTCTAGAAGCAGTGCTTTGAGAACAAGGCAAATTAAGTATGAATGAAAATAAGAAAAACGTGAGGGACAGAAGAAATGCAAGTGTAGATTCCTTTTTTCTCATTAATGGACTCAGGAAATAATTTGGATTCAAGATTATTAATGGTCTAAACTTCTGGAAGACTAGTCTTTTTTCTTCTTTTAGACTTTTGCTTTAACGTATGTATATACAGGAGTGGGTAAAAGTAGGTTTACAGTTGTGAGTACACAGAAACTTATTATTATATTCATTGGCATTATTATTATAGAATGATTATTACTTATCTTTTAAGTAGTGATGGCTGGTAATTTAACCTATTTTTGCCCACCCCTGTATGTATGAGTGTATATATTATGTACAAATTGTGCTAACAATGTTCTTCGGAAGTACAAATGACAGCTCAATCACCATTGTTCAGAAAGGACTTTGGGTAGAAAGCCAACCTTTTGTGATGTGTTGCAACTAGAGGATCTAATAACTTAATACTTAGATCCAGAGGTAGTTCTACTGTACTCTGCATTGCTCAGGGCAATGATTTACACATTTTAAGACAGTCATTGACATGGGGTGGGTATCCAAAGGAGGGAACAGAAGAGAGGTCTGTACTGTGAATATACAGCTATCTATCTATTTTTAAAATCATGCACTACATGCCAAGCTCTGCTCACAAAACTAAGTCTCTGCTCTCAGAGGGTTTATGTTCTAATGGGGGTGGGGGGAGAGGGGACGGGTAGATACACCAAGAAATATTACATACAGTATACATGAAGTGGACACAAATACTGTAAACAGTTTACAATGGAGGAAAACTAAAGCAGGGGGAGGACAGTTGAGGGTGGTGTTATTTTAGAGAGGGCCTAGGGGAACACTCTGGATGATGATATTTGATCAAGGACTGAAAGATGTGAGACCCAGTTTTCTGAGGGAAGTTTCCAAGTAGAGGAAACAGTAAGTGCAAAAGCCCTAAGATGGGAGCAAGCGTAGTTTTTGAATAACACAGATGAACATGGATATGCATGGCAGTTTTTGCAGGTGGGGACTGATCACAAACGACCTTGCTAGGATTTCAGCTTTTGCTGATATGGGAGTGCATCTCAACATGCAGACATTGTACCATTTCACATCATCACAAGAAGGGTGAAAACTGTATTTTGAGACACCATTCACATATTTTATTACATCGTATTGTTATAATTGTTCTATTATTATTAAATCCTACTGTATCTAATTTATATGTATGCATAGGTACCTATGTATGGGAAACTTTTATCCTAAGTATGTATGTATAGGAAAAAACAATATCCATAGGGTTCAGTTCTATCCAGGGTTTTAGGAATCTAATGGAGGTCAGGAGTAAGGTGGAGACCATTCTACACAAATTAGCTTTATTATTGCTTTTCAAAGTTAAATTAAACTTTGAAAGTCACACTTAATTTCATTCAGTTTATAATGAATTACTAATTAGGTATGTGTAAGGCAAATCACAAAGTATTACATGTGTTGTTACCAAATAAAAAACCCCAAATCCCATTTTTAGGGACATTACAATCATGAAAGGGTGTGGGACACAATATTTATAAGGAAGTATACAGCAGTGCTGCAATAGTGTGTAGTGCACTGTAACTGTTCTAACAATAATTGCATGCTCTCTGTATGTTGTAGACCAGAGAGTACCTTCCCCTTGACTGATTCAGACAAGCTTTAAGGAAGCATTACAATATTAGGCAGAGGCAGGATATGACAGGGAAAGTCAGTGCACTTCCATAACTGAATTTTATGAGCAGATTAAACCAGTTAAGTGCTACGGCATCAAAATGGAAACCATCCCCCTACACCACAGTATTTTTAATTAAAAAAATAAATTTGCAATGAATATTATAAAAATAAATTGCAATTCAGGTAATATTTAGTATTTTCCACTGAAAATTCTCATTAAAAATGATTTTAAAGTTGGGCAGGGCTGCCACTTAGGAAAAAAAATTTTTTTTTTTTTTTATAGATCCAAGTGACTTGTGGGGAATGTCCAACATTTGTGTCTACAGATGTTTATGGCATACAATGGGTTAAGAAACAGAAAAGACAAGGCACATTCAGAGAATAGTGAATAATCCGAGTGTGGGTTGAATAATGATTAGGGAAATAGTACTTGTAAGACTAAACGTGCTGTACTGCTTTTTGAAGACTTTTCCTCCCATTATGTGGTCTGTAGCTGACTTACTTGGTGCCAGAAGCTTACCCAGTATAATTCTTGAAAAATGAAGCTGTCTGAAAGGTGATTGTCATACCCCTTCCCTTGAACAATGCACTTTTCCACTTTGGAAAAAAAAACTAATGCAACTAAACTGCCATACAATCGAAGGCATAGTCTGCTCTTTTCCGTTTGTTTTTTTTTTTTAATCTGCTTGGAGCAGATAATATTTAAGGTTCCTTCTAGAAATTCAGATTCAAAGAAGTATCCACTCTTAAAAAAAAAATATTTTTAGTCATTTCAGAGAGGGAGAGGGAGTGAAACACTGATGAGAGAGAATTATTGATCAGCTACTCCCTGCACATACCACGCTGGGGAAAGAGCCTGCAACCCATGTGGGTGCCCTGAGCAGGAATCGAACTGAGACCTCCTGGTTCAACCACTAAGCTACACCAGTTGGTCAGGTATCCAATCTTATTTTGATTACAGATATTCTTAGCTTACCTTATACCCTAAATATGAGGAACTCATGAAGTTCTTGGTGTAGATACCTTCAAAGACAGAAGCACAATATCCTAATAATTACATGCCCTCTGTATGTTGTAGACCATCTTTGCAGAGTAAGATAAAGCATGAAATTACTGACAGTGATTTTCTCATGAACATCAAAAACAAAATATAACCTGAGTATTCAGTCTCTCCTTCCCCCACCCCAAATTCAATTACAGTTAACAGTTTAAACCAGACATCTGCAAAATTATTTGTGAATTCCATCACCCAGTAACTTAGGGGATCCAGGCTTTCAAGCAAGCATTGAAAAGTTAGCACAGAATAATTAATTCTTTGGCTAAGGATTAAGAGATTATAGTGTAGCCGAGACAGGTTTGGCTCAGTGGATAGAGCTTCGGCCTGTGGACTGAAGGGTTCTGGGTTTGATTCCCGTCAAGGGCATGTACCTTGGTTGCGGGCACATCCCTGGTAGAGGGTGTGCAGGAGACAGCTGATCGATGATTCTCTCTCATCAATGTTTCTAACTCTCTATTCCTCTCTCTTCCTCTCTGTAAAAAATTAATAAAATATATTTAAAAAAAGAGATTATAGTGTAAATACGGTTTGTAATAGTGTAAAGCCCTGTACTATATTCTTTAAGGTTATTAGGGGGGAAAAACCAATGTGTATACATATTTAGCTAAACTTAGATTTAATTAATAAGTTCTTTAGATCAAAAAGGAACAATTAAATTGATGTCACAAATTCAAACTCAAATAGCTTTGATTATTGCAGTAACTATCCCATCACTTAAAACCTTAGTGGTAAATATTAAGTTAAACACATTTTTGCTATTTGTTATATACACACACACACACACACACACACACACACATATTCACATCCTTCAGTAACTATAAATTGATAAAGCTAGAGAACAGATCTTTCCCACATCCAACCTATTTGACTTAAAAATACACTTTCCAGCTTCCAACATATATATAAATTTCTTACCTAATCTTACAAAATAAATTTGTACAATTCAGCCTGTACTATTCCAGTGCTAACTATTAACTGTATTAATTTATCACATCGGAACACTGGTATCAGGGGACTTAAGAATTTATTCTTGGGCAGAAAATGAGAACTGAACAGCAATTTCATCACTATAAATGGAATTCTTCCTTAGTATAGCAGATCATTAATCATAAAGTACATTACTTTTGAAAACAAACACTTAAGAGAATTCTTGTACATACTTTAGATCCTGTTTGGACATTCCATTCAATTTATTGGAATGCTTTTTTAATGTTGTACTACAAACATAACAGAATTTTTAAAAAGTTAAATCTCATCTCTAATGGCATTTAAAAAAAGGTACTTGAAGTTATGGCATGAAATACATGTAAAACTAAGGCTTTTGTTCAGTTTTTCTTTGAGCATTTTCAAGTTGAAAAATATATTATAAAAACTCAAAGATGTTGCCACGTTCACTTGAGTGCTTTTGACACTGTAAAAGAGACAGAAGACCACCATAGCCATAAGCAGTGGGTCTCCAAAATCATCAAATGTAAGGACTGAAAGAGGTGCATGATTCATTTATCAAAAAATTTTTTTTTCACAATAAAACAATTAAATCTAAACCTTGCATATTCTCTAAAGCAATCTTTCAGTGGGTCAACATACATGCTCTCTTGGCTAGATGTTTGCTACAAACAGTTCTCCATTATCATCTGGCAAATGTGAAACCAAACTGCCTATTTTTGCCATCTGGGTGCCCTCTACTGGACTATGTAAGGTATAAAGCCAGCAAGTCAATGAGATTTTCTTTCATAATACGGGAGAAACAAGTGTATACGAGAAAAAGTATATCCCATACCTCAAACTGAACTTCCCAGAAGCAGCACAAAAATAATCTTTTAGTAAACTAAACTGACTTTTACAGTGCTAATTCTTTTTTTTTTAAAATATATTTTATTGATTTTTTACAGAGAGGGAGAGGGATAGAAAGCCAGAAACATTGATGAGAGTAACATCGATCAGCTGCCTCTTACACACACCCCTACTGGGGACGTGCCCGCAACTCAGGTACATGCCCTTGACTGGAATCAAACCCGGGACCCTGGAGTCCGCAGGCCGACGCTCTATCCATTGAGCCAAACTGGTTTGGGCTTACAGTGCTAATTCTACAAGTAAACAATTTCAGTCATTTTGAGAACTGATAAAAAGGGGTTTTGTTGATTCTGACAGGTGTGAGGTGATCTGTTGTTTTAATTTGCATCTCTCTGATGATTAATGGCATTTTTTCACACGTTTCTTGGCCATCTGTATGTCCACTCAGGAAAAGTGTCTGTTTAGGTGCTTTACCCATATTTTGAATTGGTTTGTCTTCCTTGTTAAGTCGTATGAGTTCATTACATATATTAACCCATCAGATGTATCATTGCCACATTTATTCTCCTATAGTGGGTTCCATTTTCATTTGTTGATGGTTCCTTTTGCTGTGCAGTTTTTTATTTTGATGTAGTCCCATTTGTTTATTTTCTCCTTTGTTTCCCCTGTCCTAGGAGATGTAGCAGCAAACATATTGCTACAAGAGATGTCTGAGATTCTGCTATGGTTTCTTCTAGAATTTTTATGGTTTCAAGACTTACATTTAAGTTTTTTAACCATTATGAGTTTGTTCTTGGGTATGGTGTAAGTTGGTGATCTGAGTTCATGTTTTCGCATATATCTGTCTAATTTTCCGAACACCACTTACTGAATAGACTGTTTTGACTCCACTATATGCTCTTGCCTCCTTTGTCAGCAAATGACAAGTGCTGGTGAGGATGTAGAGAAAAGGGAACACTTGTGCATGCTGGTGGGAATGAAGATGGTGCCGTCATTATGGAAAACAGTATGGAGTTTCCTCAAAAATAAAATATGAAACTGCCATTTGACCCAGTGATCCCATTTTTGGAATATACTCTAAGAAACCTAAAAATCCAATCAGAAAGAATATATGCACCCCTATGTTCACAGCAGCACAAGTTAGAATAGCTAAGATCTGGAAACAGCCCAACTGCCCATCATTAGATGAGAGGATAAAAAAAGATGTGGTACATTTACACCATGGCATACTACATAGCAGTAAAAAAAGAAGGATCTCTTACCCTTTGACACACCACAGAGGGACCTGGAGAGTATTATGCTAAGCAAAATAAATAAGAGAAAGACAAGCATCACATGATCTCATTCATATGTAGAATCTAGAGAACAAAATAAACTGGTGAACAAAATAGAAGCATGGAACAGTCAAATCTCAGAGGGCAGGTGGGGTGGGTATGGGTAGGAAGAGATTAACCAAGAATTTATATGCATAACCCATGGACATAGACAATAGTGTTGTGAAGGCCTGTGCAGCCAAAAAGTGGTCAATGGGGAAAAAGAAGGGACATCTGTAATATTTTTAATGAAGATAAGTTAAACAAACACACAACAAAGAGGCTTTATATACAATCTTAGTCTCCTTTTCAATATCCTGGAGGCGTATCTGGAGCAATAGTTGTAGTACTGAATATAATGTTAATATTTTACAATGATTTCTGTATTGATGCAAATCACATTTTTGTGAGTCAACTCTATGGATTTTTTAAATGCATAAACATGGGTCTTAGCAGATAACATGCTAAGATCATATCCACAAGTTTCTTGCCGTAAGTATCAAGAGCTGTGTCCTTTGTGAAGATTCATTTTTAGTTACCAAGATCTTTTTCTCTGTCGTTCATCCCCATGCCTGAGATTTGCAATAATGCAGGACCAGTTTACCATCACTGCCAAAACACTACAAAAAAGAAGAAAAAAAAAAACTTAATTTTTGCTATTCTTTGATGAAACTAAGAAAAAATGTTACATGTATCATAAATATCCTTATACATGTAGGTATAAATTATTTACAAAGCTATTTCTTTCAAAAGATGCAAGTTGCTATTGTAATACGTCAGTAATCATAATCTATATATGTGAGCCTAAGTGACCTTCCAACTGTTTACCTGGTAGCTATGATCTTCAATGACCACTGGGGGCAGATGCTCCAACCAGTAGAGGAGGGAGCTCAATTCCTCGCAAAATAGACCATGGGTTAGAGGTTGCTGCTGGGACACCGTCAGCCCTGATTCTGCTTCACCTGTATCTCGGACCCAGAGAGAAGGGAGGAGGGAGCCCGATTCCTGGAGGAATCAGCTGCGGGTTAGTTGCTGCTGGGCAATGTGGGCCCGGAATCTGCTTCACCCACACCCTGGACCCAGAGAGGAGGGAGTCTGATTCTGGGGTGTGTCACCCAAGAACTGCCCTCTCGGAATACTGGACCACTGCGGGGATGTTGGAGAGCTGGTTTCAGCTCAATCCTTGCAGGCCAGCCCAAGGGAACCCACTGGTGCAGAATCCATGAACCAGGCCTCTCCTGTTTAGTAAAACCTGTCCTTTAAACATCATAGGCCTGGATGGGCTTACATATTTTTATCTTGCCCTTTAGTCTGTATCTCTTAACTCTAATGGTATATACTGTTTTCTACTTATAGTATACACATTAGCGATAATTTTTGTCATCAAACTGTTAGGATGTTGAATGAAATCATTCTTATGTAGTCTTCTTTTAAATTTCTTGGAAGCAAATCTGGATTAGTAATTATATAAAAAATGTAAAAGAAACACATTAGACAAAAAGAAGGCTTTATTTCTGAACATCTTCTGTTTGTATTATTCATTCAAATACATCTTCTGTGTGATTTATTCATTCCTTAATTCTTTAATCACTGAGTAATTTATTGAGGTAGTAAATGTTCAAGGTGTTAGAGATATAACAGAAAACAAGAAAGTAATCTTTTTTCCTGACAGGCAATTAAGAATAGCATCTCTTAAAATAATGATGTGAATTAAAAATCATACTATTCACAGATGTGCATCTTTCATTAAAAAAAATAAAGCAGTTATATTTTACCTCATAGAGGGTTCCAACTTCCTGGTCAGGGGAAGGGGCAAATGACTGATTCACATAAATAAACTGCAAAAAAAAAAAAAAAAAAAAAAAAAAAAAGGTGATTAATTTTTAATGGTATCCTGATTATTTTGCGGTTCAATCAGCCAGCTCTTTCATATTCTTTGTCTTCAAAATTGAAGGAAGTTTCCTTAAACTCCTTTTCCAACTTCTCATAAAATTAGTCAACTAATGCGATCTTTATGAAGATTACATCCTCCATGAAGGAATAAAACCACATTTTTTGCTCCTAGAGCAGTGGTTCCTACTTATTAAAACGGAAAACTTTTATTTATTTATTTATTTATTTTTTAATATATTTTATTGATTTTGTACAGAGAGGAAGGGAGAGAGATAGTTAGAAACATCGATGAGAGAGAGTCATCGATCAGTTGCCTCTTGCACACCCCCTACTGGGGATATGCCCGCAACCAAGGTACATGCCCTTGACCGGAATGGAACCCGGGTCCCTTCAGTCCCCAAGCCGACGCTCTATCCATTGAGCTAAACCGGTCCCGGCTAAAACGGAAAACTTTTAAATAAAGTTTACAAATAGCTTTTGAAGGTTTACTTAAGCAATTACTAAAAGTATTACTTTTTCCAACTAGTACTCATTTTAATGACAGAATTTTTCCTAACAAAACTTCATACACAGTATAAAATCAGGAAATCTAATATTTGAGATAGTGTGAACATTTTTCTTGGGTAATAACACAGTTGATTTTTTTTTTTTTTTTTTTTTTTTTTACCTTTACCACCACTGAAAGTTGTAAAAGTGCTGAAATCCAGGCTGGGTGCCACTACTGTAAAGTCATTTATAACTAACTAAGATGGTAACATAATGAAACCTAATGCCCTTATAACCTTGTTCTTTAAAGGATTCATTGTTCAATGTTTCAGTTTAGTCTGTTTTCATTAAAACACTCTAATACATGTATCCTCTGCTTTTTGAAAGTTCATGTTATGAATGACCTACATCAGTACCTATTTTAACTGAGAAATCCTAAGAGGATTTTCACTTTTATTAAGAAAGCAAAAATAACGTTCAGCATGTTTTGCAGTGAGCCATTATAGAAATGGTGAGATGAGCATTAGAAACTACACTCTGCATCTTGGCATTAAGCCACCACAGCTTTGGATTGTGTCTGTAAGCATCTGTGTTTTATCTCAATTTTATACATCTGTTAGCAAGATGTGACTTAAAATATCAGAATGTCTAAGAGAGCTCATAAGGGTGTTATGCTTAGCATAAAACTGGATATAATTAAGGGTATTATGGTTTTGTAGGTTGAGGGGATCTTGGTATGCACAAAGTTTTTTTCACATAAATTAATGGTAACTGCTTCTTTGTTTTATGTCATTTTGACTTAGGAAAGGTTTCATAGGAATATAGTGGGGGAAAGCTGTACTTAAAAAATTTCCTGCAGATACAAAAGTTGTTTTTGTAGCTTTTGATAAGTTTCCTTTTAGAAAAAAAACATTTGCAGGTAACATTATCAATTTGCCTTTGTCTATAGTCTAATTCTAAGACTAAAATTTCCTGGACTTAATATAACCTTTGAAACCCAATAATATCAGAATAGTTGGTTGATGGACACTATTTGGGTCATCAACTGTAATAAAAATAAATAATGCCTACATTTCTCTCTTAAGTGATTCATGTGGTAATTAAAAACAGAGTCTCTACTGAAACAGATCCAAGTTTGAATTCTGGCTCTAAATACAAATACTTAAAAAAGCCAAAGCGACTGAACGACCGAACAACTGGTACTATGACATGCACTGACCAGGGGCAGATGCTCGATGCAGGAGCTTCTGAAGTCCCTTCTCTCCCCCAGCCTCCTGGCCCCAATGGATTCCGATTGCAGGCCAGGCTGAGGGACCCCATCCATTCACAAATTCGTGCACTGGGCTTCTAGTACAGATACAAGAATCTGTCTTTAGGTCCTGACAATTTAACTGTGAGTTAACATATATATTTTATTCTCCTGGTACATTTTAAATGAGAAGGCCTCCTGATGACAATTTTTAGTTCAGCAAACATTCACTATTTATTATGTGGTAGGAATTTTCTAAGGTGTGGAACTGTGAAGATTAATATGTCTCCCATTAATGAGTTTTCAATCTACTGGAGAGGCAGACACATGCAGATAAGACTATAGATGAGAAAAGTGCATCTGACAAGGTGTGTAGTACACAAGAGATGTCGCATTAGTTTAACCTAGCAAAAATATCAGGGAAAGACCTAAGAGATAAATGGGATTTAACTAGATGAAAGAATAGTTAGGACTTTGTAAGCAAAAGTAAGATTGTTTTAATGTTAAGGGGACAATAGAGTAAATGTACCAGAACTATAATAACTCATTGCAATTTATAACAGGAGTCAGGAACTAAAATTAAAAAAAAAAAAAAAAAAGGCAATTCAGTTAGCTTAAAATTCCATGGAAGTAACAATTTCAAAATGTAATCTTGCTAAATGCTAGAACTTAGGAAGATAAAGTTATCTTAGTTTTAAAGAATAATGATTTTGTTTTTAATCCTCACCAAGGATATTTTTACCATTGGTTTTTAGAGAGGGGGGGGGGGGGGCGGACATCGATGTGAGAGAGACATTGATTGGTTGCCTCCTGCACTGTCCCAGGGATAGAAACCTGCAGCCTAGGTACATGCCCCTGACTGGAAATCAAACCCAACATCCTTCGGTCCATGGGTGGATGCTCTAACCACTGAGCAACTCTATCTAGGCAAGGTCTTCTGCTCCTGAGGTTTTAGCTTCCATATGCATGTGAATGATGACACTTCTTACCCACCTCTGACATTTAATCAAATTCTATATGGCATTGTAATAACATAGATGCTTTTCTCACTCTGATCACAAAGGGAGATGTTAAGCTACAAAACTCAAATATTCCCATACTTTTTCTAAACACCTTCCTTTGGAGGATTCCCAGGCTCTATGCTATTCTTCCTCAAATTACTTCTAGTGATTCATCTATCTTATACTTACTTACTCTTGCAACTATATTCACTTTGTGAAAGGTAAAGCCAAACTGCTAGATCAGTATAAATACTGGCCAAGATGTGATTTGCCAATAAAGGTGTCTACTATATTAATTAACAGGCAATAATATTCCAAATACAAGTAGACATTTAAATTTCTATAGCTGAATACCAAGTTAAAATCCAGTGGCATTTAAAATATTCATCTTTTCAACTGCTTTAAAGTGTTAACATGTACTAATATGAAATAAGAATATCTCTTAGTTCTTCCATAACATATGTTAAGGACATATTGCTTACCTCAAGAGGAACGCAAAGGAAACAACATTAATATCAAAACAAATTATAAAACCTAAACATCTCTATGTTCTCTGACAGATCTTTCTGCGTGGACATTCAGTGGCTTTTTGAGTAAATCACCTCAGTGGTTAAAAAAAAAAAAAAAAATCAGTTCATATTGTAAACATAACTCTAAATTCATTTCACTCAAGTTCCCCAGAGAATCTTTCAATAAAGTACAGAAATTCCACCAATAAAAGAACATTACTGAAGTAAAAATATATAGCTCCATATGTATTTCTATATACAAGTTATTCATTATTGCCTAGTAACCATTAGAGATAATTGTAGGGAAATAGTCAGCACTGATTTCATACCAATTGTTCTGAAGCCACAAGTTTAAGAAACTTTTTGATGAAGTCAATGAGTCCTTGGATGGTTCGGGTTCGCTCTACAGCCCACTTCTTTGTTTTCATTATAGGGGTGTCTCCCACAGCCTTTAGCAGGATATCAACTGTAAAAGAAAAAAACCAAAAAAACAAAACAGACAATTACACAACATATAAATGAAAAGTTAAACCTTTAATCTGCACATAGTATATATACTGAAAATATTGGAGGTATGTCTAAGATATACAAATGTTAAGTTGTAAGATTCTTTTTTCATCATTCCTCCCCCATCCCCAATTTTACAGTCTCAGAAAGGACTCTCCATGAAATATATCTTTAAATTTCATTTTAATAATTAACAAAAATAGAAATAGTCAATAAATATGTAAAAATATATAAGAAGATGTCGCCGGGCCTGTGTAGCTCAGTGATTGAGCATCAACTCATGCACCAAAAGATCACTGGTTCAATTCCTGGTGAGGGCACATGCTGGGGTTGTGGGCTGATCCCCCAGTGGGGGCCTGTAGGAAGCAGTCAATGGATGTTTGATATTTCTCTTTCATTGATGTTTCTATCTCTCACTCCCTCTCCTCTGTTCTAAAATCAATAAAAATGTACACACACACACACACACACACACACACACACACACACTGTCATAGCTTTTTACAACCAACCAAATTAGCAAAGACTAGAATTATAATACTGTAGATGACACTACTGTTGGGAATTAAAAAATGGCACACCCTTTCTGGAGAACAATATGGTAATAGATTACCTAATACTTAAGATATGCTTTGGCCAAGACCGGTTTGGCTCAATGGATAGAGCGTTGGCCTGCAGACGGAAAGGTCCCAGGTTCGATTCCAGTCAGGGGCATGTACCTTGGTTGCGGATACATCCCCAGTGGGGCGTGTGCAGGAGGCAGCTGATGAATGATTCTCTCGCATGGATGTTTCTAACTCTCTCTTCCTCTCTGTAAAAAAAAAAAAAAAAAAAAAAAAAAAATATATATATATATATATATATATACACACACACACACACACACACACACACACACACACATATATATTAAAAAAAAGATATGCTTTGGTCCAATAATCCCATATAATGAGAGGAATATGCTAATTATCCATTATGCCCTGAGGCATAATGACCAACTGTATAACGACCAGATCACAGATTTGCAGGAGAGTGGGGTACTGCACTACAAGAAGGCAGCAGAGAGAGGGGTGGAGGGGGTGGGGGAGCTATAGGAGGGCGGCAGAGAGTGACGCATGGATTTGTGCACAGGGTTACTAGTACTAATAATAATGGCACTAGGAATCTAGTCTCATAAAATATGAGATGTAAAAAAACTCACTTAGAAGGATTTCACCTTTGTTGAAACATTTATTTTTATAGAAAAAAAAAAAGAAACTGGCAAATCTAAATATCCAACAACAGTATTTAGAGGGGATTGGTTGAATAAATGATATTATAGTCTATGATTGAATTTATATAATTCCGTATAGAATACACTCTGAAGTTCCCTGGGTTCCAAATCCTGGCTCTGCTACTTGCTAAGTATATATATCAGGATAAACTCTTTAATCTCTTTGTGTCACAGTTTTTCCTTTTGTAAAATGAAGACAATATCACCTACCTCATAAGGTTGTTTTGAGGATTAAATAGGTTAATACATGTAAAGCACTTAGAACAGTATTAGCTCTTAACTCATATTTATTGAACCTTAAGATTATAAATTTCCATTAAAGAAAACATTCTATAAAAGCATATTTAGCCAAAACCGGCGGACAAGGGTCCCAGGTTCGATTCTGGTCAAGGGCATGTACCTTGGTTGCAAGCACATCCCCAGTAGGGGGTAAGAGGCAGCTGATCGATGACTCTCATCGATGTTTCTAACTATCTCTCTCCCTTCCTCTCTGTAAAAAAATCAATAAAAAAGAATATATATATATATATATATATATATATTAAAAAAGCATATTTAGCAACGTGAAAAAGTTATCAAAATGTACTAATATAAAACAGCATGTATAATAAGACCTCAATTTCATTAAAACCATCACAAGCATATATTCATGTAAATGTGAAATGTGCCCCAAAATGCTATTTCTCAGTAGTGACATTATAGGTGATTATTATTTGTTTTTTACTGGTACTTTTTGTAACCACCAAGTTTTCTACAATAACATTTCTAATAAAGGAACATAATTATTAGGGAATAAACAGCAACTAGGGGCCAAAAAGTTTCAGTTAGAGAAATTAAAGGTTTCAATAATCCACAATACAAACACAAACTATGAATCTGCCTTCTGAAGTTACTATACTTAAAAAAAGGATGCGTGTGAACACACAATACAATATACAGATGGTGTAGTATAGAACTGTACACATGAAACCTGTATTATTTTATTAACCAATGTCACCCCAATATATTCAATAAAAAGGGGGAAAATTGATGTTTACCTACTAGTTCGTGGTTGGCAAACTGCGGCTAATGACTTTGCTGACCACTGACCTAGACTCTCGATTTTAATAATTACAGGCTGTTGTTCTTTGTGATTAAGCCCCGGGAAAGCAAACTAGTATACTGCTGCCCCCTAAAGTTAATTCTAATATATTACATGTCTCTTGTCCTAGTCTTCGGTGTTAAAAATTGGGATCCAATGGAGTCAGAGATCAATTTATTAAAGTTTACCCTTGGAATGAAGGCACCTGGAAAACAATGCACACTGTATCCTTCCTGAAAAAGTTTATCTTCCTTCCTCCACTTAATAACCTAGCTTTTTATTCAGAAAACAGAGATGAACTGAAAGATAAATGAGGGGATTTTGAGTAACACACCTTCTACGCTCCCCCCAATCTCCAGAGACTATCAATAACTCAGTTGCAACTGAGCATTTCAAAAAAGTGAAGGAGAAAATATTATGAGCTGTGCTACTGCAGGAAAAAAAAAAATTGGAAGGGCTAGGAGCTAGAGGATGCATTTGTTTAAATTATAACTACTTTTTCTTTTAATTTCTAAAGGTGATTTGCTTTACAGTTATCAACCCTAGCTATGCATTAGGAGCAACTGGGGGAACAGATTTAATTTACAAGAATATACAGGAGTCCGCATCAATTAAATCAGAGTTTTTGGAAGTAGGGTCTTGGCACAGGTATGTTCTAAAGCTCCCTGAGGTGGTCCTAATGTGAGGCCAGGACCAACCACCTCGGTTTGCTTTAACAATCTTTCTTCCCCTGTGGATTAAACCAGACGTGAAGCACATGTAATAGCTAAGCTTCTTTCATCAGAAGAGGTCTTCAAAAAAGGATGACAATTTCAGGGTAGAAATTCAATAGCTAGAAACTAAGTTTTATATATACCACCAGAGAGGCAAACTCAAACGCTCACAGCAGCCAGAAACAAAGAAATAATGAAAGACAACCCCAGGCTATCTCCCTGTTGCAGGTCATTAATCTTTAGCCACTGTTTTACAAAGCGATCTTCACGGAGGGAGTAGTACACTTTTGACTAAAACTGTTTGAGCTTCAAACAAGCCCTTTGAAAATCTATTTCTGCTTAAAATAAAATGGAAGAAAAAAGAAATGAAAATCTGTAAAACTCATGGAATTCTTCTCAAGAAAGATTCCAGTGGTTACCTATACAAATAATGAAAGGTTTGTTTCTCTAGTAGTGCATCATGTGGGAACAACAATAGATTTCCCCCAAAGGAAGAAGCAGTCTATCTTTAAAGGGGAACAGTGCTGGAAGAAACAATTATCTTCCAAAGGCAGAAGAAAAATGAAGTTCGATGGAGGCTGTGAGATTCACGGAGCAGAAAACGTGCCAATATATAGACTTAGACTGTCTGGCAAAAGGTGTCTGTGGCCCAGGGTCAACCTTTTTGAATTATAAGGTGCTGATTTGCTGCTTTTGTCATAAGCAACGCTACAGAGAATGCTCCAGGACAAGTAAATTTAGGAATTTCTGTATTTTTACAATGGCAAACGAATTCTCAAGCAACGACAGGGTAGATGACAGTTCAAACAATGGCGTGATTCACAAAGGTTCCAAAAGGGTTTGTGTGTTTTGTTTGTTTTTAGAAAGACGATGCCTGTGCCTTTAGTTTTTTTCCTTTGCCATTTTTCATTTTGGGTAAAATTTCCGTGTGTTTTTTTTGTTTTGTTCAAGAAATAAATTAAAAAAAAACAAAAACAAAGAAAAACCACCCCTGCGAACTAACTAGCTGGAAGGCATGAATTCTCATTCAGACTTGCCACCTACTATCCCTATCATCTTCAATCATTATTCAAGTAATTAGCTGCCAGGTTAAGTACCTGGAAAAATTCAATGAGCCCCCACTCTCGCTCCCGCCTTCAAAAAGTCTGAGGTCAGGCCAGCGGCCCGGCAGGTGCCGCCGGTGCCCTAAGCGCGGGGGCAGCCGAGGACCGCACCCCATGGCCAAGGTGCGTCCAGCTTTCTGGAAAGGCCCTCAACAGTACTGTCTTCAAAGCTGACCAGAACACTTCCCTTCCTAACTGGTCAAAAACCACGCCTGGCACGGGCCCTTCCTTCCTCTCTATTTTGCCATCCTTCGTGGGAAGCGATCTAAACAAACCTCCCCCCGCCTCTGCCCTGAAACCACTCTCAAAAATTACTTTTTTTCTTGGTGTCGCCGGCAGGTTCCTCTGTTCCCGGGGAAACCGCGGCGGAAGAAGGGGGCTCCGGCGTGGCTGTTCCCGGAGAGACGTCCGCAGGCCCTTCGCCGTCCGCCGCACCGGACGCGGGCAGCGGGAGCGCGGCCTCCGGCTCCTCTGCCATCTTGCACCCCGGGAGGCGAGGGAGGAAGTGGGGGGCTCCGCGTGCGGGGGGCGGGCTTTGCGCCAGGAAGTCGCTAGGCCAGCGACGGGCGAAAGGGGACCCAACTCTACAGTGAGCGCTGGGGTCGCCGGCTGCCTTCTATGGTCGAACCCGCCGTCGTAGAGCCCTGACCATTAACACCGCGGCTACTCTTTTTTCCACAGTCCACGCGCCTGGGGCAGGGAACGGGGGGTCAGCGCCGCCCCAGACCTCGGAGCGCGCAGGAGCCCCTCGGGCCAGTGGGCGTGGCCTGGAGTGTTTCCGCTTCCCTTCCGCGCCGGCCCCGCCCCGGCCCCGCCCCTCCCCACCCAGGCCCCGCCCCGCGGCTGGGGGGTGGGGCGCGCGCGTGCGCGGGAGGGGGCGGGTTGGGAAGGATCGCCGGCGAGATCCCGAGGCGAGGCTCGCGCGCCCGCCCCCGCCCCGGCCCCCAGCGCCCACCCGGTCCGCCCGGCTCAGCCATGATCAAGGCGATCCTCATCTTCAACAACCACGGGAAGCCGCGGCTCTCCAAGTTCTACCAGCCTTACGTGAGTCTCCCGCCGCCGATGCGGGCGAGGGGGAGTTGTGGGCTGCAGGCAGCGCCCTCAGGGCGACTCCCTCGGGCACGCGCGGCCCTTCGCGGGCCCTGGCTACCTCCACCTCCTGGGTTGTCAGCCTGCGGGTGGGTGTGAGCCGGCGCCCACCTCCCGCGCGCGCCCTTCCTCCGACGTGGCTCTGCCTAGGTGGCTCCTCCCGCCCGTCTGTTGCCGGAGTGGTTCCCGGCGGCGGGGGCGAGGCCCCGGGAGGCTTCCCGGTGCGGGTGCGGCCCCCCGCGGGTCCGGGCTGCAGCCCACCTGTGCCCGCCAGCCCACCTGCGCCCCTGCCCTCCTGACACCCGTGCCCGGGGCGAGCCTCCGAGGACGCCCGCGGAGCTGGCTGGTCTGCAGCCCCACCTCCCTGACTCCCAGCCCTTCCTGGTGGACCTCTCTCTCCCCGCTGGCAGATGGGCTCGTGTGTTTCTCCGAACCCTCCTCTCATCGCGCAGAACTTCGGCTTCCTGCGCTCTGACAACCGCACGCTTTGTGCAGCCTCTCTCTCTCTCTCTTTCCTGTGTGCTGTGATACGTGGTCCACTGCCTAGTTTCATGTGTCACTTTTATTAAAGAAAAAGATAAGAGGAACTAACACTTTTATCGGGCTTTTCTCCTAGTGGCTGTACATTGTTTGATTATTATTTAAATGAATTGTTATTGACGTTTGTGATTGACCAGCCAGAACTATGATTCTATATTTGAAAGTTAGGATTTCAGCTGCTGGTTTGGTAAGAGAATTTGCCCTAATTTGTAGTTTTTCTTCCACTTATGAAGAAGAGTAATATTTGCAAAACTCTTTTAGAAGTGTAAATATTGTTTTAAAAATGCAGGAGATCTTAAGGTAGGGAGGATAAGTCATTTAGTAACGATTTAAGTGAAGGTTCAGTGCGCCTTGTCTGAAGGCAAAATCCGCTGTTCGGCATTCATCGGTATGGTTTATGTGAAGATATACATATTGTGCAGAATTGGGGCTTTTTGTTTATAGCCAGAAATGAACCTTCAGTTAAATATTTAAATCGGGTCAAGGCTCACACTTGAATGTAGGTTAGTCCCAGATAGAAATCATTCCTGCCTGCCATTAAAAATTAAATGTGAAAATGTCACTTTGCCTAAAATGATAATGCAGTCTGTGGAGGTGTTAGTTGACGTGAGAAATCTTGAGCTTATTCCTTATTTCCTTAAGTAGTTTTGCTATTGCTAGCGATAAAGAATATTTTCTACTACTGTTTGGCTTGAGTAGAATGCAACTTAAATGCTAATGATTTATTTAAGAATTCTACATCATTCCTTAATCCAGGATAAAATTCTAGTTGATCCTTCTGGGTTTAAAAAAACATGCCATTAACTTGACAGTGTTACCCATTTGCCTAAAATATAATAATACTACACTTTATTGAAGAAACTTCTCTCAACCGTTTTGCTTGTGCTGTTCATTCGCAGTATAAAAAAGTATGTTCCAGTGATGAAAGATAACCCAAACATTTGTTTTTCCATGTCTACACTTAGTAACTAAGCAATATTAAAAATAGGTTTCATATCTAATCCACAATATCAGTGTAACCGTTCTTGCAGTTTTTAATTTAACCATCTACAGAAAAATGAATTTCATCTGGAAATGCAGGAATACCTCTTTCTCTTGTCTACCAATGGGAATAGAATATGTTTTACCTTTACCCAAGTTGGTAGCAGTGAAGGTTAATGTGGGAAGAGGAGGTTCTGGCAGCATGGCAGCTCTGGTGTCAGTTTTGGCCATTAGGTAAATGACAGGGTCATTTGTGGTCAGGGGGGTGAGAGGTGTACTAGTAAAAAGAAGAATCTAGTGATCACTGGTTCAATTCCTGGGCAGGGCACAAACCCAGGTTGCTGGCTGAATCCCCAGGAGATGGCGTGCAGGAGGCAGTCAATCGATGTTTCTCTCTTCCTTCTCTCTATAAAAATCAATAAACTGTTTAAAAAGAAAATAAATAGGTTGGGCAGGTAAGTTCTCACTAAGAAGATGACATATGGGGGAAGACTTGAAAGAGATAAGAAAGTCCGCTTACAGAGATATCTTGGGAAAGATCATTCCAAGCTGAAGAAGCAGGCGATGCAATGGCCCTAAGAAGGCAACATCTATTTGAAGAACATGCCCTAAATGTTAAGGAACACCAGGAAACCTGGCATGGCAAAAGCAGAATATGTACCAATAAGAGAAGAGTAGTTGGAAATGGGTGTATTTGTATAGGCAGTGGTTGGCAAACTCAGTCAACAGAGCCAAATATCAACAGTACAACGACTGAAATTTCTTTTGAGAGCCAAATTTTTTAAACCTAAACTTCTAACGCCACTTCTTCAAAATAGACTTTCCCAGGCTGTGGTATTTTGTGGAAGAGCCACACTCAAGGGGCCAAAGAGCCACATGTGGCTCACGAGCCGCATTTGCCAACCACAGGTATAGAGAGTCAGAGTTTATTCTATCCTCACTGCTTGAAATATTCTTTACTTCATTGCCAACTGTCTAGATTCGACCCTTTGTTCCAGGCCTAACTCATATATCACTTAACCATTCCCTGAAGCCTCTTTGTTCTTAGGATTTTACATTATATTTATTACAGTCTAATATTCTGTTTCTCAGCCTAGGATTCCTCTGGGGCATTCTATAGATTCCCTGAGGGAAAGTATCAGGTTTTAGATTTATTGTGTCACCCCCAGCAATCAATAGTAAGTCTTGAATATACTAGTAGAGACTTTCAATAAATCTTTGCTAAATGTTTCCTAGTTTGGGATAGAGTTTGGGTTATAAGTGACATCCTAAATTTCCTTCCAGTTCTTAAAATTTAGTCCTTCATTGATGAGAGGCTCTCAAAATCCATGCCTTTACGACAGCTGTTACGTGAACTGTTTCTGTTTTTAAGGTGAAAGAAATTTCTAAGAAGTGCACATCCAATAAGATTGACAGTTTGTGTTTAATTTATTAAGCAATATTTAGGGTGTGATGGTTTACAGTTTCATATCCTGATTGAATACTGAGATTTGAATTCAGTAATAATGGTTTTAACACCGAGCAATTTGAAAAGTGCTTAACCATTTGCTAATCTACTTCCTCTACTGCATTGGATTTTCATTCCTCACATTTCCTCTCATATAACAATTTATATGTTCATCTTTACCCTTTAATAGTGCAGATTTCCATTCCCAGTGTAGTAAATTTTTAGATTTGATTGTGCCTCCTATTTGATTGTGCTGCTATTATGTGTGAGGCACATGACGTCACATGCATATTTGACTAAACTGAAGTTTTTGATTCATTCTGCAAGAGTCAGACATTAAGAATTCCAGGGTAGACTCAGAATAAATTCTCTTTTGTTTTTGCCTTCTATATCCTTATAAGCTATGACTGTACAAGTTCAAATGTTTTTAGTCTTTTCATATTTGCCTGGCAATAGTTGTGTGTTACTATAAATGACTAATGAGACTAATATTTCTTAAAGCAGATATATTTTTACATAGCTATCAAACAAGAAAAAAAATAATTTGTTTATGATTCCTGTGTTATTAATGAAACATGGTATATCCTTCAGTGAATCACTTTAATAAAGTAAAAAATGTTTTCCTTTTATATGAATTATCTTTTTTTAAATATATTTTATTGATTTTTTTACAAAGAGGAAGGCTGAGGGAAAGAGAGTTAGAAACTTCAATGAGAGAGAAACATCAATCAGCTGTCTCCTGCACACACACACACACACACACACACCCCCCCCCAGGGATGTGCCTGCAACCAAAGTACATGCCCTTGACCAGAATTGAACCTGGGACCCCTGAGTCCGCAGGCCTACGCTCTGTCCACTGAGCCAAACCAGTTAGAGCTATATGAATTATCTTAATTGTTTCCACAGATGTAAATGATTGTATATGTAGCCCTGGCTGGGTGGCTCAGTTGGTTGGAGCGTCATCCAGTACACCAAAAGGTTGTTGGTTCAATTCCTGGTCAGGGCACATACCCAGGTTTCTGGTCTCTCCCTGTCTCCCCTTCCTTTCCCCCCTCCCCCTCCCCCTCTCCCCCTCCTCCCCCTCCTCCTCCTTCTCTCCCTCCCCCTCCCCCTCCCCTTCCCTCCCTTCCTCCCTCTTATTCTCTCTCAAATTAATAAAAACATATCCTTGGGTAAGGATTAAAAAAAAAAGATTGTATATGTTTGCATATGTATACTCATGGTCAAGCTTATATACACATACATAAGTAGAGATAGGAAAGTTTTCAAATGGTTACATATACAAGTTTCCTCAATTTTCATATAAACTGTATCTGATTATTCAGTTGTTCGGCAACCATATGCAGGTCCTAGAAGGAGCTCTAAGATTGTTCTTTTCATTTTTGAATTTTTTACATAACAGATATATAAAGTATTGAAAGTATGTATAACTTTTTTTCTTTTAAAAAGTTAAGAAACATGCATCCATATTTACTGATGTCTTTTTTAGTGACTGTTAAGACAATGTTTCAGATGGGATAGTTAAAATTATTATTATTTTTTTTTCTCTTGATATTTATTTTTTTTAAATATATTTTATTGATTTTGTACAGAAAGGTAGAGAGTCAGAAACATCGATGAGAGAGAGTCATTGATCAGCTGCCTCTTGCACACCCCTTACTGGGGATATGCTCGCAACCAAGGTACATGCCCCTGACCGGAATCGAACCCGGGACCCTTAAGTCCCCAAGCCAACGCTCTATCCATTGAGCCAAACCGGTCTCGGCTAAAATTATTTTTATGATCAAGATAGAATTGTCAGCAGTTCTAAGTATTAATTAAGGTGTTAACACATATTATATATTTTTATTGTAATTTTTAAAAATAGAAACGGATTTACAGATACAGAGGGGAGGGGATCGAGCCCGAAACCTGAGCATGTGCCCTGACCTTGAAACAAACTGGCCATCTTTGTATGGCCCAACCAGCTGAGCCACACTGGCCA